CCTCCCCCTCTTCCTCCTCATCCTCCGCCTTCTCCTGTTTGGTACCATGTCACCATCATCATCAACGCCATCACCACCAGTATCATCATCGCCAGCTCATCCGCACCATGACCACCGCCATCACCATCACCACCACCACGGATCACCATCACCACCGCCACGGATCAATGCCTTGTCGCGTGCCTGGACACATGCGATGCAACCCGCATCCGCTAACCTCAGTCGGGGCCTCCAGAAGTGCAAGACTCGCCCCGTGAATGGCCCCACATGCCCGCGGACTCGCTCGGGGATGGCCCCGAAGAGCCTCGAGCCCGCCCACCCAAAAAAACAAGACAACACAAGTACGCCCCAGGACAGCAACACGACATCCCCAAGACGATCAAGGGGTCGGCGGACGTGGCGCAATCTTATAAAATCTGAGGACCACTGAGCGAAGCCAAGAAGAATCGATCGCCAATGTGGTCTCTGATGCGTTCGTCACCGTCAGATTGCAGCGTGCCAGTCACACAAGGCACATTGAACCCACTGAAACCTGTTGATGATGAGTATCAAATCGTCTTAACGTGGGATGGGTGGCCGACAGTCCGAGAGAGCACGCTGGTGCAGAGAATGAAAGTGTTGATGCAAATCCACACGCATAGGCACCACGCACGAAGGCAAAGCACAACAAGTAAACGAACGTGGAATCGTTCGCGCTGAACAAAGAGTTGAAGCATGCGCCCGCAGCTTCGGGCACAAGTCATCGGTGAAACAGTAGACACGCTTGGAGAGCCTCCTGCTACAAGGCCGCCTGCTGGAAACGCCAACGAGCCCACTGCACCTCCAAGTGGGCACGGCAGAAGACGCGTCCGTTGTGCTTGAAGTCCCGAGGCGATGTCCACACAAACAGTTCGCCCTCGGCGAAGGTACGTAGCCATCTGCGGTCCGAGCGAGCACAACTTCCAATCCGACATAGCAGCGCACGGTCGACAAAGGCCTTGCCACGCCGCATGGCGCACTGCGACGGATGATGGAAGGAGGGGAAGCGGGATCTGGATTGGGCGACGCAGTCTATCCAGATGCACTGCTCCCTGGCCAGGCCCACCCCGAACCCAGCAGCGGTGAATACACCACGCCCTCCTGGCTTGGCCAGGAAGGCGTATACAGAGCTCCTGGGCTCGGGATGGGCCTGGCCAGGGAGCAGCGGATACGTGGAAAGCTCGTCGCCCGACCAAGGTGCGGTAGACAAAGCCGTCAGACGGTGAATACTTCATTCCCCCTGCCACACACTGGTGTTGAGTAAGTATGTAGGCCGCCACATAGCAGCGTGCAGCCCCTCCCCACCCTGTTAACGGTCAGCTGATGGTACCGTAAAGCGGGATCGATGGAGACCTCGCGCAACGTCAGGTGGTAACACCAAGAACAGCGATCCGGAATGATAATATGTTCCAGTGCGATGGCTCACCGTCACTTTAACCTGCGACGGTGAAAGCCTACACGGGCATGCGCGAGTCTGGGCCCGCTTGAGCTGTCCTCTAAGCCTCCACCATCAAGACCCTATACGTACGAAACGAGCTGTGGCAGATGTGTGAAGCTGTAATCAATGATACTAGAACCACGCGCGCGCTTCGCGCGCTTAGGTTCTGTCGAGTCACAGACCCAGGAATCCTCCCCCTCCTCCTCGTCTTCCTCCTCATCCTCGTCCTTTCCCGAGCGATACAATAACAACTTGCGTGGAACCCCTCTCGGACCCATCTTGGGGCTCTCTTGGGCCGCCTTTGGGGCCTCTTGGGGCGTCCTGGGTCTCTCGTGGGGGCTTCTTGGAGCTCTCTTGGCGCCTCCTGGAGCCTCTTGGGGCCGAAAGCTCGGAATTCTGCAGTGGCTTTCTCCCTCTGGGACCCCTCTCGGGCACGCCTTGGGGCTCTCTTAGGCCATTTGGGAGTCCAATTTTGCCGTCCTGGGCGCCTCGTTAACCGTCTTGGAACTCTCTTGGGGGCCACCTAGGCCGTCTTGGGAGCCTCTTCGGACGTGTTGGACGCGGTGAAAACCCAACAGGCGGCCATGCGAAAAGTATACGTTTTCCTATGGGAATGGACCATTTTTGCTTCTTGGACCTCTCTTGGGGTGCCTCTCGGAACGTCTTGGGCTGATTTTGGAAGCCTTTTGGCGCCTCTGGGCGGCGTTTTGGCGCCTCCTGGGATGTGTTGGGCCGGAAGCTCGGAATTCGAGAGTGGCTTTCTCCTTCTGGGACCCCTCTCGAAGTCGTCTTGGGGTTCTCTTGGGCCGTCTTGGGGCCGTCCTGAGCCACTCGTGCGCAGCCTTGGAGCGCTCCCGGAGGCCTTCTAGGCCGTCTTGGAGGCCTCTTGGGCCGTCTTGGACGCGGTGAAAGCCCAAGATGCGAACATGCGAAAAATATACGTTTTCCCATAGGAATGGCACGATTTTTGTTTCTTGGACCTCTCTTGGGGTGCCTCTCGGAACGTCTTGGGGTGCTTTTGGGAGCCTTTTGGCGCCTCTTGGCGGCATTTTGGCGCCTCCTGGAGCCTCTTGGGCCGGAAGCTCGGAATTCGAGGTTGGCTTTCTCCGTCTGGGACCCCTCTCGAACTCGTCTTGGGGCTCTCTTCGGCCGTCTTGGGGCCGTCCTGGGCCACTCGTGCGCAGCCTTGGAGCGCTCCCGGAGGCCTCCTAGGCCGTCTTGGAGGCCTCTTGGGCCGTCTTGGACGCGGTGAAAGCCCAAGATGCGAACATGCGAAAAATATACGTTTTCCTATAGGAATGGACCATTTTTGCTTCTTGGACCTCTCTTGGGGTGCCTCTCGGAACGTCTTGGGCTGATTTTCGAAGCCTGTTGGCGCCTCTGGGCGGCGTTTTGGCGCCTCCTGGGATGTGTTGGGCCGGAAGCTCGGAATTCGAGAGTGGCTTTCTCCTTCTGGGACCCCTCTCGGAGTCGTCTTGGGGTTCTCTTGGGCCGTCTTGGGGCCGTCCTGGGCCACTCGTGCGCAGCCTTGGAGCGCTCCCGGAGGCCTCGTAGACCGTCTTGGGCGCCTCTTGGGCCGTCTTGGACGCGGTGAAAGCCCAAGAGGCGAACATGCGAAAAATATACGTTTTCCCATAGGAATGGCACGATTTTTGCTTCTTGGGCCTCTCTTGGGCTGCCTCTCGGAGCGTCTTGGAGGCTTCTGGGACCTTCTTGGTGTCATGACAGGCGTCTTGGAAGGCATCTGGAGCCATCGGAGCGCGTTCCGAAGCCGCCTGCGAACGATCTTGGACGGCGTCCGGCGGTCCGACGAGCCTCCGGGCCCCCCGGGGCCCACATTTGTGGTCGGGGTCCCGGCCCCGGGCCCCCGGACCCGGTGCGCCGTTATATGTATATATAATCGAGATTCTCACTCTGGCGAAACTGATTGCACATGACTTGGGGACAGGGCACGAGGCACAGAGGGGAAAGCGAAAGAAAAAAAGTGAAACGATAGACAGAGACGAGAAGGAAATAAGAGGTCAATCTGCCAGCGCACATACGAACGTGTCAGCTGGAAAACGTGCGGCTTACCCTACACTCTCTTCCAGACCACAGCGACCGTACTCCTTGATGCTGCTAATCTCAGCTGTATGTGCGCTGGGTCCAGGGTATCGCCCGAAACTCTAAAGAGAAACTATATACAGCTCCAGTCGTTGTTGTGAGACAGCACACACACACACGCACGCACGGCAAACCAGAGGTCTGCGAACACAGACACCCACACACACACACACATACATCCACACACACATACACACACACACACACACGCACACACGGCAAGCCCAACACGCGCTCAAGCAGACTCAGGGGACAAGGGGCAAGGAAGGGGCAGGGGGAGAGGAGGAAGAAGAAGAAGAAGAAGAAGAAGGACGAGAACGAAGCCCAACAGGGCTCTTGCCGCTGCCTTGTTGTGGCAAGGCAAGTCCTGCCGCCTTCACCGCTCATTCTTCTCCCTTGGGACAAAACATGGCACAAACATAAGGTACGCGCGGACTTCTAGGATCGGTGCTGGCCCCCCCTCCATGGCACGCGGAGCGCGCCGGGGGCGGCGGTGGAGGCGCCGTCAGGGGGCTCCAGCGCTGATCGGAGACATCCGCGCGGACCTCTGTAAGTGCATGTTTATGTCATGTTTGGTTCCCCGACTCCCCCTCCATCCCCGACCTCCTCCCTCTCCCTCGTCCTCCCTCGTCCTCCCTTCACTTCGGTGCTCCCTCGTCCCACCGACCTCCTCGTCCTCTCCCATCCTCTGTCCTCCTCCCTTCTCCCTCGTCCTTCCTCGTCCTCCTCGTCCTCCTCGTCCTCCGCGTCCTCCCTCCTCCCCCATCCTCTTCCTCCTCGCCCTCCCGCCTCCACCGCTTTCCACTCACCCTCGCTTCCCTCTCCCTCGCTTACTCCGTTCGAGCAGGGACAATCTCAGCCAGAACTTGTCTTAGAACATTCGTGCTAACCACTGCTTGGTTCTTTGACTTGTGAAGTGGCACCTTTTGCTCTGAACTCGAACTTGAGCCCCACATGCCTGAGGCTCTTCCAATCTGAGATAAAGAATAGATACTACACTTCCTGTATCACATGCTGTGCAGGAGTCACGCCGCCCCGGAGCGGCCGAGACGAGTGAATGCTCCTGCCGCCACTGCGCGCGAGCCTCTCGCTCGCGCCTCAGATGCACATGATAGGCGCGTCGCGCCCGTACTGAAAAGTAGCGGAGTGTGGTCCACGGATCGTCGAATTCATGCTCTCGGTGCCTGCTCACTGCGCCGTTGCCCCGCTTCGTACATGTAGCGGTGCATATCTTTGACGGGCAGCTGCTTTGTCATGATGTCCGCTGGATTCGCAGTCCCAGCAATCTTCAAGAGCTTGAGCGTCTTCCCCGAGATTTGCTCTTGCAACCATAGACACCTCGTACATATATGTCTCATCTTCCCGAGCCCGCGTCTCGATGCGAAACTGCGGCCCGAGCTCGAGTCCGTGTGAACCGTGACGCCAAGCTCGCGGCCGAGGTCGCGGAAGTAGCTCCTGGTGCCCAGCGCATACGCGGCGCCCTTGGTGGCCGCATAGTATTCCGCCTCAGCGCTGGATAGTGCCGTGATCGATTGCAGTGTACTGCTGCTCCTCAGCAGGTGGGAACCCCTGAACAGTAGCATGCCGGAAGTGCTTCTCCGGTCCTTGAGGCTCCCAGCCCAGTCAGAGTCGACATAGCACTCAATGTCACCGTGCTCCTGGGCCTTGTAAATCAGCTTCTCGTAGGGCGCACCACGGAGGTACCGCACAAGCCTCTTCAACTCGGTAAGATGTCCCTCACGCGGTGCTGCCATGTGCTGCGCCAAGCACTTGACGGACTCGGTGATGTCTATGCGGTCCTGGTCCACATACTTTAACCTCATCGTCGCCGATCTGTACTTGGTGGCCTCTGCTGGGCTGAGCAGAGGACTGGTCTCGTGGGCCTGCACCTCTTCCAGGGTAAGCTTCACCCTGGGCGTGCTCACGATACTGCATTTCTCCAGGCCCAATTCCTTCAGCAACTTCTCCACGTGCCTCTTGTCCGCCTCGAGCTCCACGCACTGCTCGACGTCGTTGATCCTCACCTCCCGGTTGAGGATGGCCATGATCTTGTCGTCCTTCTCCGCGAAGCCAATGATCGCGCCGCACTTCACGTCGAACTTCTCACTCAGAATCCCTTTGAACTCCTCGACGTTGTTCCTCTTGCATAGCACCACGAAGTCGTCGCCGTGGCATAATCCTTTGTACTTCTCGTTTGCGAATAGAGCTCTCGAGGCCGTGCCAACGCGAACCTTGTGCTTCTCCAGCTGGCCCGCCCATGTCTCGCCCCACAGGTGGGCCGCATCCTCGGTCCCGTACATAGCCTTCAGCATCTTCGCGACGTGCCCCTCCTTCTCGAAGCCTTCTGGCAGCGTCGCGCACACCTCCCTGTTGTTCTGCTCTGCCGAGAAGTGCGCTCGAGAGATGTCGAATGTTGCCATCACGAAGTCCTTGATGTCGTGCCCGTCGTTCAACGTCATCCACTCACTGATCAGCATCTTGAGGCTCTCAATCGGGGGCATGGCACTGAAGACCTCCGCCGGGTCGAGCCTATCCTCGACCTTCTTGGCACGCTTGATCTCCCTGCAAACCAGCCTCGAGCGATACTTTCCAGTCACCTTGCGGGTATCAATCCATCTCATCGTCAGCGGCTTGCCTTGCTTCTCATAACACTCTGCCTCGGGAACAGTCTTGAACACCTTCATGTCCTTCACCCACTGCATCTCCTCCTGCCTGGCTTTCCTGACCTCCTTCGCGTCGAGCTCCTCCTGGTTGATGTCGTCCCAGGCCTTCTCGACCTCCTCGTAGCTCTCCGGCTCGTCCCACCAGAGCGTCTTGTCCGGCACCGGCCCCGCGTCGAAGCTATGCTGGACGTACTCGTCATTGTCGTGCGTGAGCTGGCGCTGGAACGCTCGTAGCACTCCCCGAACCAGCTCCGGTGTATAGCTGGCCGCCGCCTTCACGCGCTCACCTCCTATCAAGTGCAAGTGCCGGTGCATCGGGCCTCCTCGGTGGTTCGCGCATACCCCTCGCAGCGTCTTGGCAAGCTCCACCGAGTTCGTCAGCCAGGTCGTCTCCTTGCGAATGTACCCTGTCTCGCCGTGCTTGTTCTCCGCGCGCAGGTTCCAGTTGCACATTGGCCCGTGAACCTTGAAGACGCGCGGGTCCGCCGCCAACTCCTCCATCTCCTTGAGCTTCCACGAGGCCGCGTGCTTCGGATGCTCGTGCAGGAAGTACGCGTTGGCCTCCAGTTGCCTCCTGTAGCCGGCGGCGCACACCCTGATGTGCATGTCGCCACCGACACGCCTTCTCTCGTCAACCTCCTCTTTGCTCTGACTGAGCCTCAACAACGGGCAGTAATCCGTGCACGGTGGCGAGCCGATCAAAAGCTTCGGCTCTTCCTTCGCCTGAAGCTCCTCGAACTCCTTCTGGTCCTCCTCCTTGGCGAGGTCCCAGTGCTGCCCATTGGCTTTGACGGTGGTGAGGTCGATGCAGAACCCTGGCCTCATCCCGCAGCTGGCCGCACTGGGGGTAAACCTCGGAGGTGTATAGATCTCGGCCACGTCCACCGCCGCAAGCGAGCATAGGCAGATGGCCATGCTCACTATCTCTTCCTCACTGGCATCCAGCTCGTGATGCCGCATTGCTTCCTTGAGCCTCTTCGCGACAGCTGGGACCATCTTGATCTTCTCGCAGCTGAGGGCTCCAGCGTCCGCATCGGCGGGTGCTCCCGTCGGGTCTCCTCCTCTGGACGGCGCTGGAGCTCCTCCCCCAGAGCTGCTCGCGGCTGCGCCTCCTGCGCCGGTCCCTGCCGGCAGCTCCACGTCATCGTCAACGTGTCCTCCGTCACCTCGAGCCGCATCTCCCGGCTCGCCTCCGTCTCTCTTGACTCCTCTAGGCGCGGACAGGCGTGCCTTGGCCGCAGGCGATCCCTGCATCTCACTGCCGCTGAGCGCCTCTCGTATTCGCCTGTCGGCGCGCCTCCGCACCTCCTCAGGCCTCCTGACCTCGCTTCCTTGAGCGGGTCCCTCTTCAAGATCTTCCTGAGGCGGCTCGCCTGCCACCTCCTGCGCGGGTCGCTCCTCCTGCTCGACCCGCGACCTCTTGGCCCTCAGGTCCTCTACCGCTTCACCTTGCGGCCTGCCCACCTTTGACTCGTGAGCGCTGACTCTCACACTTGCTTCATGAGAGCCCTCCTCCTTCAGCTTCTTCAGGATGTTGTCGCGGCACTCCTTGTTGTGCCCTGTCGTGGGTTGCTGGCCCTCCAGCATCTTCCTGCACGCCGCGCAGCTCGCGGTGGTGCCGTACTTCTCGATATCGGCCCTCATAACGTAGAAATTCTTCCTCATGCCAAGCTGGGATGCCCTTGCCGCCTCTCCAGCTGCGCCTCCTGACGACGCCGTGCCCGAGCTCGGATCTTCCGCACTGGCACGTGCGCCTCCTCCTCCTCCTGCGGCTGATCCTCCTGCCGCGGTCGCCGCTGGCTGCGGCATCTCAATCACCTCCGGCCCATCCGCGGCGCCCACCATCGGCTTGTCCGCGGTGCCGCGCTCAGAAGGCGCCCATGGACATCCCTTGCACTTCATCAGGTAGTCCATGTCGTATCGATCACCTGCAGGAAGTCGATGGATACCGACTCCTCGAACCATACCTCCTTCCGTGATGAACATCGAGGCCCCAGATCGTTCATGATGCCCGACGTAGATGCCCATCTTCATCCTGTCCTCCAAGCTCGCTTGGCTCTTGACCGCCCCTGCCGGGCGGTACATCACCTTCTCGCCGAAGTTGACCGCCGGGCGCTTCCATCTCCTGCCGGAGCGCCTATGCTCTGCGCTCCTGCCATCTTTGCCGAGCCTGTAGCGGTTCACGCAGTTGGCCGCAAACCTTGGCAGCCACGTGAACAGCGAGCACTTCTCTGGGATAGGCTTCCCATACTTCTCGCGCAGCTCGCTCCTCAGCACCCGGCACTGGTTCTTGATCTCCCTGACCGCTGCTTCTGCTCTCCCGTTGGCCTGGCTGCCCCCTTCAGGCGATGTGCGAGGCACGCACTCCACGCCCATGAGATTCTCCGAGACCTTGTCCAGCAGCTTCAGCAGCGCGCGCTCGTTGTCCGATCTGAATATGATCTTCTTGTAGCCAAGGCCCTTCGACCAGCCGACCATGTAGGCGATGGCGTACGGTGCCGCTCCCTTCGTGGGCACCGTCGTGGCTGCGTAGCTTCCTTGGCCCGTCTCCCTCGCACAGATAATCGGCGCGCACTCCTCTGCACGCCTGCCCATATAGCCGTAGTCGAAGCATGCTTCCACCTCCAAGCTCTCCTCTGTCTGCTTCAGGTGCGGGTGCTGCTGGCCTTTTCCAGCGACACAGTGCCGGCACCACGTGCGGTACACGGCGTGGCCGCTGGACTCGTGATCTTCTACCTCCTCTCTCGTTGGAGCTTTCACTCGGTGAGGTTGCTTCGGCACCTCCTGCTCCACAGCTTCATCCTCTGCCTGCATCTCTTCATCACCTCCGGGAGCGCTGGCTGCAGGCTCGCCGCCCGCTCCCGCTCCTGCTGGACTTACAGGCGCTGGCCCGGCCGCCGGAAACCCGGCTGGCCCTCGTCGTAGGGGCACAGGTCGTGCCCGCCTTCCTCGTCCTTATTCACGTTCACGTAGAGGTTGTACACGTTCCTTTCCTTGTACATGGTGACGATGCCTTCATAACTGTGCCGTGCCGCGATCTCTCTGAACGCGGCCCTCAGCTCTGCGTGCACCGGGGAGTTCCCATGGATGATGTAACCGAAGTCGCCCATGAGGAATGCATCGTTCCCTGCTCCTGTGACATCTCCCGCGCTGAGGAGCACCTTGTGGACGGGCGCCTTTACGCCCTTGAACTTCAGCAGCTGCCGGTGCTCCGTGATGCCGCGAATGCTGTAGCCCTCGGTGCTGTTGATAATCTCCCCGGTGGCGGTCCTGAAGTTGAGGACACTCTCCGTCTTCATGGCCTCGCCGCCATCCATCTCGAGAGGGAATGCCGTCTTCGCGGAGCCCGTGTCGAAATTCATCCGAACCCATCGGCTCTTCTCAGAGTCCTCGAAGCTCGCCAGCTGAAGGCACTCGTCATGCCTCGAGTCCAAGCAGCACATTTCCAGAGCACCGGCGTCGCGCTCCTGCTCTGGTTCGTAATCTAGGCTCCCTTGACCTCCCTTCGAGCTATTCTTCGAATCCTTACTCGTCTTGCCTCCTTGCTTTCCTCCTGCTTTGCCTTGTCCACGAGGTGGCGCCCAGCAGTCCTTTGCGACGTGGCCAGGCTTGTCGCAGTTCCAGCACATCTGCTTGGCGGAGCCGTAGGCGTCGTTCATGGATCCCTTCTTGCCGGACTGCCTGCCACCCTTGGAGCTGGACTCTTTGCCTTTACCTTTCCCGTCCTTGCCCTTGCCCTTGCTGTCGCCTTTGCCCTTGCCCTTCCATTCAACCTTCTTGCCTTTGCCAGTGTCGCGCCAGAGGGCGCTGGTGTCCATGGCATCCGGGTCCGTGGCGACAGGCTTGGACGGGGGCTTGGCCGCTGCCTTAGTCGTGACACCGGCGCGGCTCTCTGCATAGGTGGTCACCTCCTCACGCATCAAGGCACAGGACGTGATGCGATTCTTGTTCATCTGCACATGCCGTTCTAGTTCGTCTGGGAGCATGGCCTCCAGTGCCGCCATCTTGATGTCCTCTGCGAGCGTGCGGCGCTGTCCTGCGGTGTCCCTCCGGCTCTCGTAACGTCTCATCAACTCCTCCAGCCTCTCGATGGCAGCCTGGAGGTCCTGAAGCTTAGCCCTGCCTGGGTCCATGATACTGCGGAGGATGCTCCGCGACCTGCCTGCCGTGATGGGGTCGAAGCGCCTGTTCAAGCGCCTCCACGCCTCAAAGCCGTTGCCACTCCCTGCTGATACCGTGATATTGAACGCCTCGCCGTCCGTCAGCGACGAGAGCACTACATACAACTGGTCATCGATCTCCTCTAACATCTCCTGGCCGATCCTCGGGTTCTGACGATCATCCCCTTGAAGTACTTGGTACGTGACCGACTCCACCTGCTCCGCGGCAATGGCTAGCAGCTCTCTTGCCTCACGATAGACATTGGCCACAAAATTCTCCAGCTTCCTCGACCACGTGATAAATGATGACTCGTCATCCGAGAACACCGACGGCTTGTTGAGTCCCTTCGTGTCGATGAGATTGCCGCCTGACCTCCGACCTCGAGTCTCCTCTAGCGCTTCTCTGAACGCTTCCACGATCTGCTGGTGAGGACCCTCTTGCCTCACGCGTCGGAGCTCCTCGACCATCTGGGCATTGTCTCTCTCAAGCGCCAGCAGCCTGTCCGCCAGCTCTCTCATCTGCTCGACCGTCGCCGCCATTGCGCATCGGCCGCTGCCTGGAGGCACGTGGGGCTCACCTCGCAATCGCTACCATGACTTGTGAAGTGGCACCTTTTGCTCTGAACTCGAACTTGAGCCCCACATGCCTGAGGCTCTTCCAATCTGAGATAAAGAATAGATACTACACTTCCTGTATCACATGCTGTGCAGGAGTCATTCTTCCTCCTCCCTCCACGACATCGAGGGACCAAACGGCACCCATACCGCTACTCCCCGATCCTCTCCCAGGGGTGCGTTCTGACCAGAATTTCGAGGCGAACGCGGCGTCGGCGACGAGGACCTCGCAGGAGGCCCGAATAGGCGTAAACGAGGCAAGGGTAGCGGTACGGGTACCTCCTCCTCCTCCTCCTCCTCCTCCTCCTCCTCCTCCTCCTCCTCCTCCCCTGCTCCTCCTCCTCCTCCTCCTCCTCCTCCCCCTCCTCCCCTCCTCCTCCTCCCTCCTCCTCCTCCTCCCTCCCCCTCCTCCTCCTCCTCCTCCTCCCCTCCTCCCCTCCTCCTCCTCCTCCTCCTCCCCTCCTCCTCCTCCTCCTCCTCCTCCCTCCTTCTCCTCCTCCTCCTCCTCCTCCTCCTCCCCCTCCTCCTCCCCCTCCTCCTCCTCCTCCTCCTCCTCCTCCTCCTCCTCCTCCTCCCCCCTCCTCACAGGCCACTGTGGCTATGGCTCGGAGCCGCGCGCGCTGCCGCCGAGCCAGCGGCGCAGGAGGGCGGCGCGCGGGCCGCCCCCGCGCCGAGCCTCCGGGCCCACCCGCGCCGCCGAGCGGGCTGCCCACGCCCGGGGCCCCCCCCGCGGGGGTGAGTCGAGCAGGGACCGACCGTCCCGTCACTTTGGACGCCCGACATGGGTACCGAAAAAATGGGTACGATGCCCAACAACAAATGTTGTCCCAAACCAACAGCGGCCGCTGTTGGGCAGGCGGCCTCCTGTCTCGAATGGACACAGGCCGCGGCGGCGCCGACAGCGAGTCCTGTTCAAAATGAACAAGATCCGCTGTTGGGCATAGTACCCATTCTTTCAGTACCCATTTCGGGCGTCCAGAGGCACCCCCTGCAGGGGGGCGTAAGACCCGGGTGCAGGGGACTCGGAAATCCCCGACGAGGTCGTCGAAAAAATGGCGAGGCCGAGCCTGCGTTTTGGCGAGGCCTCCCGCTGCAGACATCCCACGAAGCTCCTACTCGTCAAAATCCGAGGCGCGGTCGTCAAAAAACGATGGCGAACCCGAGTCCTGGCAAACCCGGGTCTTACGCTCCCCCGACCCCTGCAGGCCTGCCACGGCATGCTCCCAGAACCCGGAGAGCGTTCGGAGGCCACAGAAGAAGCAGCGCTCTCAGAGCAGAAGCCCGACGTGCTGAGACAAGGCAGGCTCGGCCAGAACTGCTCCAAGAGCTTGTCGTGCAGACCACGAGGGGTTCCTGGAGCATGCCGCGGTGGGCCTCCAGGCGGGCCAGGACGCCGCGCCCCTGCTCCAGCGAGGCGCCCGCGGCACAACCAGCACCGGCCCCGGCCAGGCCGACCCCGTGACCGGGGCCGCCCCCGGGGAGGCCTCCTCGCAGAGGGCGGGAGCCGGCGGCGCGCGCGCCGTGGCGAGGCTTTCGGGCGTGCTCGTCAACGAGACCCATGCTGCAGCACAGCAGCAATTCGGCCCCCGACTCTCGTCCCTGGGCTCGGTTCGCTGCAGTGATGAACCTCGGGGTCCTTACGTGGGAGAGAAAGCCTCCCTGCACCAATCTGAGGGCCCCCCTGGGGGGGCCTCGGTGGGCCCCGGGGCCCAAGGTTGGTGGCGCGATGGTTTGCGGGCCTCGGAGTCGGGTCTCGGTGGTTCCTGCAGCCGCGGGATGCGCTCCAGCGCCCGCGCCCCGCCGAGGGCGTTCCAGAGGGGAGCCCGGAGCTTCCCGAATCGGCCGCCGGGGGCCCGAGTTGCGAGCCGAGGACGAAGCTCGGCGGCGCGCGAGGGGGGAGGAGGTGAAGAGGAGGCCTCCTCGGAGAGCGGCGGGGCTGCTCGGAGGGCCTGCGGCCTTCCCGAGGAGTGCTCCGCGTCTTCGGGGGAGGCTTCGGAGGGCTTCTCCTCGGAAGGCCGGGGGGGACGTCCGAGCCTTCTGAGGAGGCCTTCTCCGTCCCACTTCCCCCCGGGGCCCGCCGCCGATCTTCGGAGAGGGCAGGAGGGGGAGGGGGACTTGGAGTACCATCTGGGACCTGCTCTGGAAGAGGAACATGACGTAGGAAGGATCTACCCTGTCTTCACCGACGCTGCACTACGCCGAGCGCAACGTCGGCGTTGTCTGTACACGCATCCGCCCCGGGTATGTCTATACACGTTACGACACCCAGTGTGTCTACAGGCGCTTGTAGCCAGAACGTGAGAACGGCATTTGACATCTGACCCAGGGATCGGTCGTCTAGAAACACCGATAGACTGGGCCCCCCAGAGTGCCAACGGCGGAAAGCGTGGCAGTCGCCCCACGACCGCATTCTGGGGCCAGGCCGGCTTGACCAGAAAGTCACATCCACCGTCCCTCCGCCTAGGAGTAAGTCGGGCCTGTCCCTCTACAGGCGGATTTTGGATGACAAATCAAAATAGTCAAAAAGGTACTCCAAAATAGCCAGACATGTTCTATCTATGTATATACAAAAAGACACCAACAAAAAAACAAACAACGACAAGATAAGCACGTCCCCCGACTATTGTTACTATGTTCGAATATTTCCACTGTGGAGGGACAGGCCCGACTTACGCCCAGGAGTTGACCTGGCCAGAACGGCGCGGTGCTGGCGTGCACCACTTGGCGCTGCCCGCGGGACGGCTCGCGCCGGCTCCCTCAGCAACGCCCAGCGGCCACCTGCGCTCCGAAGACCTCACGCCACTGCGAAGTCCTCTGCAGGGAGGGGCGAAATTCGGCGGTGGACAAAGCTCCCTCTAGTAAACCTCCCTCCAGTGCGAACGGCCTGAGACCGAAACCGACGGACCTGGACCCGCAAAAATGACGGCCGTGACGCCCTCTCGCGGAGCGAAAACGGCCAATTCGCTTGTCGACGTGTCAGGGTAGGAGGTCGATCAACCTCCGAGAAATAGGGGAGAGGAACGCCTCTGAGGACTCGGCGGCTGGAGCGATTTCCAAGAGAACGGTTTAGGATAGCCTAGTATCACAGTCAATCCCATCAGCACTCTGGTCGATGGTGGTTTCGCGAATTCGTTCGTTCGTTCCCCGTACTCCGCTTCGCAGAGGAGTTTAACCCTACGCGGGAAGAAATCCCCGCTCGCCTGGCAAAGCCACCTAGGGGCCTCTTGGGGGCCTCTTGGGGACCTCGGGGGATACTCGGGTGCCTGTAGGAGGTAACCGTGAGCATCTTGAGGACACCCTTGGGGGCCTCTTTCGGGTCTCTGAGGGGCCTCTTGGCGCCAAGGACGTTTGTTTCTCTGCTGGCCTCTTCGAAATGTTGGGCGGCTTGAGCCCCTCTTGGGTCCGTCAAAGGCCGTCTTGGGTCCCGCCCGGGCCAGTCTCGGGGCTCTCTTTGGGTCTGTGGGCGATCTGGGGCTGATCTCGGCGAGTGTCTTGGCGTGTCTTGTGAGGTCTTGTCACGTCTTGCCTAAACGGCGACATCCGAACCCTACCCCAGCAACCATCTATTCTCCCGAATCGATGGGGGGCGCGGGTAGGATTTGGATTTCGCCACGCGATCGACGAACTCCGAAACCTACGCCCACCGCCCATCGAGCTGCCCGAATCGTTGCTCGGCGAGGGCAGGAGCAAATCTCGCAATTATCCGCGATAACGCCCGTGACTGGCACCGCGACTCCCCACTCCCCTCTCCCCTGGTCACGCCACGCTTCGCGCCCTCGCCGTCTGGAAACCAGCCATCCCAGACGGCGCCAGCGCGAATCGTGGCCTGACCGGCCCCGTCCCCCCCCCCTTCCCTCCCCGGCGATGCCCGTTGCCGCCAGGGGATTGAACATTAGATACCTACACATCTGTTTTGTCTTGCCCTCCTCCCTCCTCCCTCCTCCCTCCTCCCTCCTCCCTCCTCCCTCCTCCCTCCTCCCTCCTTGTTGACACAGATATCTATGTACACATATACATAGATATATACAGAAAACTAATCCAGGCCTCGGACTTCGCCGCCGATTGTCTCGCCTGGTCTGGCCGTCCCGCACGCGGCGCGCACTGGCGCGCTCGAGGAGGGCGGCTGGATCGATGGGGGGAGGGGTCGAGGCCCGAGGGCCGAGGACCAGGAGGAGGAGGAGGAGGAGGGGGGGGAGGAGGAGGGGGCCAGAGGCGGGCCACCTCCTCGGGAGGCCGAGGAGGGGCCCGCTGGGCCAGAGGGGGCCAGAGGGGGCCAGAGGGGGCCAGAGGAGGGGAGGAGGGGGCCGAGCCAGCGGAAGGAGGAGGAGGAGGAGGAGGAGGGGGGGGAGGAGGAGGAGAGGAGGGGGGGGAGGAGGAGGAGGAAGAGGGGCCAGAGAGGGAGGAGGACGCCTCGAGGCTCGAGGCCCGAGGGAGCCGCCCGTGCCTCCCGCGCGCTGCCTGGCCCGGCCTGGCCCGGTCGTCTCCCGGGCCGACCCGGTGGCACCTTCGGCCGCCCCGAGGGCGCGGGAGCGCCGGCCCCGCGGGCGGGGCGCCTCCTCCCTCCTCCTCCCTCGTCCTCCTCCTCCTCCCTCCCTCCTCCTCCTCCTCCCTCCTCGTCCGCTCCTTCCTCCTCCTCCTCCTCCTCCTCCTCCTCCTCCTCCTCCTCCTCCTCCTCCTCCTCCTCCTCCTCCTCCTCCTCCTCCCTCCTCCCTCCCCCCGCCTCCTCCTCCTTCGCCTCCTCCTCCTCCTCCTCCTCCTCCTCCTCCTCCCCTCCTCCTCCTCTCCTCCTCCTCCTCCTCCTCCTCCTCCTCCCGGCTCCTCTTCTCCTCCTCCCTCCTCCTCCTCCTCCTCCCCTCTCCCCTCCTCCTCCTCCTCCTCCTCCTCCTCCTCTCCTCCTCCTCCTCCTCCTCCCTCCCTCCCTCCCTCCCTCCCTCCCTCCCCTCCCTCCCTCCCTCCATCCCCC